TGAGCAGCCTGGAAGCTGGGATTCTTGGGTCCTCCTCCCACTTGGTTCCATGGCCACGCCCAGACTCTTCTTTCTAGTTGCTTAATTTGGCTCAACCTGTGGGAGATGTTCCTCCCCTTCTCCAAGTCTCACTTCCATCCTTCCTGCTAATGGACTTAGGGACCTGACCCATTCCCTTGGCTGGCTGTCTGTCTGATGTCTGTGTGGTCCCTCAGGATAATTGTTCTGGACAACTCTAACACCGGTCAGACAGATTGTCCGGCCTCCGAGCCCCGACATCTCCCACCACTGCATCAAGCCAAATTACTCAGCCCCCCAAGCCCCAGGCTCTGGTGAAATCCGATTAGTGAGGAGAGAGCTGCACTGAGCTGACAGCTCCTCCGATAACTGCTTCCCAAGTAACTGATGCAAATCAGCCCATCCAGCCTATTCCTGCTCCTCTCTTGGGGACCCAGGAGTCCAGGACGCAGGGGATGGAGGACGCCAGCGTTGAGGAGACCTAGATACTGTCATCTGCTTCCAGTTAAGTGGGCATGATCCATAAGGCAAGGTTGTGCTGCCTTGGGGCCAAGGTGTGGGTGGCAGGGTGGCGAGGCTGAGCCAGGGACCCCACTGGCTCTGCATTTCTGTCTTAACTGAGAGGGTGTCACTTTGTCACCTTATTCTCACCCCTTGGAGAATAATCCCATTTCCCTGTAAGGTAGATAAAGGCAGAGATACAGAAGACACAGAGACAGGGAGATGGCTGAACCTGTTGAGAAAGGCAGATGCGGTGGCTCATGCCTGTCATCCCAGCATTTTGGGAGGCCGAGGTGGGAGGATCACTTGAGCCCAGCAGTTCCAGACCAGCCTGAACAGCATAGTGAGAGCTTGTCTCTACAAAAAAATTTAAAAATTAGCTAGGTGTGGTGGTGCGCACTTGTAGTCCCAGCTACTGGAGAGGCTGAGTGGGGAGGATTGCTTGAGCCTGGGAGGTCGAGGGCCACGCTGTGAGCCATGATCGAGCCACTGCACTCCAGAGTGAGATCGCAGATAGCTTTCTCTACTTGTGAGTCCCCCTCCTTGCCAGGCTGAGGAAAAGACATGGAGTGTTAAGTCCCCACAGATGGGACAGGGATGCTTGGGGCATCTGATTGTCTCGAGATTTCGGTGCCTGTGCCAAGGACTTGTCCTTGGGGTGCAGTGGCACTTGCTTAACTCACACATCAAGGAGCCCATTCCTCTTCCCCAAATCAGGGCACTTTAAAAGGCCTGTTAATGCTGCTTCCTTAATGCATTTCCTTCCTACATCTTTACTTCAGGCTTTTTCAGTGACCCCCTTATCCCATCTCCTACTGACCTTGGAGACCTGAAGAATTACTTTCCTTGCAATCCTGAACTTCCAATCCCCAAACCTAACCCTGCGTGCAGGTCACTGTCTTTGTGGAAATCTGCAGGGTGAGCTCCCCAGTCTTGTCCCCCATGCCTGTGTGTCTGATGTGGCTTCACGGCCTGGATCTTGAGTACTCATCTGCCTGAGACCCTGGCCATGGCCAAAACCTCAACAGCAACAGTTACCTTTTGTGGAGCCCAAAGTCTGTATTAATTACCTTATATAATTAAGTCCCTTAATTATCACAAAAGAAAATAGAGATTACAGGCCAGGCGCAGCAGCTCACTCCTGTAATCATAGCACTTTGGGAGGCCGAGGTGGGTGGATCGCCTGAGGACAGAAGTTTGAGATCAGCCTGGCCAACACGGCAAAATCTGGTCTCTACTAAAAAAAAAAAAAAAGAAGAAGAAGATATAGATTACAATGATGATCCCATTTTACAGCTGAGATAACTGAGGCACAGAGAAATTGGCTGAGCTTGGATTCAAATCCAGCAGTCTAATTCCGAAGCCCACAGTCCTGAGGCCTCTGCTCTGCTGCCTTTACTCTTCTGTGCTCTTTTCATGTTTGTTGGGATAACCGAGACAGGGTCCAGTGTAGTGGAAGTGGGGAAGGCGGCTACATTGAAAGTTAAACACCAGAAACCCTTTTGGGGCTCCCCAGGCCAGAGGCAGTGAGTGGGAAGCTAAGCAGCGTGACATTTGGTATCTAGGAAAGGGGGAACATGGCCCTCACCCTCTCCAATTTCCGACCTTTGTTTTCTGCAGTGGGAGGCCCTGCAGCTAGACAGCCCTTCCCTGTGACAAGCGTGGAGGCAAGGGGAAGGCTGAAAGATCCGCCTAGAAGCCCAAGTGAGCGGAGAGTCAGAGCTAGGACCTGACGAGGCCGATAGATGGCGCTCATGGCCCAACACAGCTCCAGCATCCCGAGGAAACCGAAGGAAAACAAGTGAGCAGGTTAACCCCTTCCCACCTGGGCTCAGGGCAGATGAGCTGGCTGGTGGGTAGGCGGGGGGGGGGGGGGGGGGGGGGGGGGGGCCCTGCCCCAGGCCAGGTGATTCAACTCTCTAGGCTTTTACCCAGGCCATAACCTGGGTCAACTTTTGTTCCTGCCCCACAAGGCTCTACCCATAAATCACGGTCAGCAGCCTCTTGACGACTTCCCAGAAGACAAGACTAAGAAGTGGATGAGACCGGGTGGGAGGGCTGCACCTAAACCCATGTTCCATCTCTTGGGCTCCATCTCTTGAAAGCCTCAGGGTCTCTGTTTCTAAGCACCCCTGCTTCCGGAGAGCTCCTCACCTCCATCTTTCCTGGGAGTGACTCTCTGGGTGGAGAAGAATAACACGGACTACAGACAGAGAAGGCCCTAGGCCCCTCTGGCATCAGTTGTAGGGACTCACTGTGGCTGCCTAAGCCTCCGTTTCTCCTTATATCTGGACTTCCTATCTCTGGGTTCCCTGGGATGGATGGGCTTATAGGCACAGAAACAGTTATTTAATTCTTCTAGGAAGATGAAATCGGGGGTGGGGAGGTGGAAGTCCTGGGGGAATCTCTGCTTGCCTGTTGCTCATTTCACTCATTACTGTTCTTCCAGAAGCCGACTTTGAATGGGGAGGGGCTGCCAAGATGGCAAACTAGAACTAGAAGTGCTGGACAGGCAAGTGACAGAGGAGTCGGGGGTGGGCAGGAGGGTTGTCCCAGGGATGGTGGAGATCCTAGAATTTTTAAGCACTGAGATGACACCACAATGAGTTCACCTCACCTTATTTTTGATCAGAAACACAGAAATGCATAATACACAGAGATGGGGGAGCTTTTTCTAGAAGCTCAGATCCTCTTATTCCAGTCACTCTAGGGCAAGAAGCAGAAACAGGGAGATATACACAGAGGGAGACAGAGACACGCACATACAGAGAGAACGCTACAAAAGAAACTAGAGATAGAGATAAATTTACATATGCAGAGAGGGGCAAATTACACAGGCGGAGAGAGACACAGAGAGGGAGAGGATCTGGTAAAAATTAAAGCTCAGGAAATTATGGGCTTCATGAGGTAGATGATTAATTCCATTTGCAAAGTCTTGCAAGGATCAGGGTAGTTGCTCACTCTGGATGTCAGAAGGTCACTGCTCACAGCTCCCTGAAGCTCCTACTGCACCCATTAAGTTTTTGTTGATAGGAGATCAGAGAAGTCCTGGGAAGGGGGTCGCATCCTTGTTCTCTCACTGCTCCCTATTCTGGGGTTTATAGGCCTCCTTCTCTACAACTCACAGGGAGACCTTGCTTCTGTGATTAGAGCCTTGGCTGTGCTCAGGTGGGGTGGGAGGAATATGGAAGATAACTAGCCTTAGGGGGTTCCCACTCTAATGAATGTTTGAGAGTCAGAACACAGAACCAGATCCAGATAGACAAGAACAAAACTGGCAATAGGACAGCTTTGGACATAGATATTGGGATCCGGGAGTTGGGGGAAATGGACTGTTAGGTGCAACCATGGGATTAGGATTGATCAGGGAAGGGTTTCTGGACAAACTATTTGTGGAAGAAGATTTGGAAGGATGAGTGGTGGTTAACTTCATGTGTCTACTTGAGTGGGCTAAGGGACACGCAGAGAGCTGGTAAAACATTATTTCTGGATACGTCTGTGAGAGTGTTTCTGGAAGAGATTCACATTTGAATTGGTAGACTGAGTTAAGAAGATCGCCCTCATTAATGTGGGTGGGCACCATCCAACCCCTTGGGGGCCCAATAGAACAAAAGGGCGGAGGAAGGCAAATTCTCTTTCTTCGTGAGCTGAGACATACCTGCCTTTGGACATTCATTGGAGTTCCTGGTTCTTGGTCCTTCAGGCTCTGGGACTTAGCAGTGAGCCCCCTCCCCTGCTTTGGACTTGCCTGAATTATACAACTTGTCTTCCTGGTTCTCCAGTTTATAGACAGCAGAGCAGGAGACTGTGAGACTTCTTGGCCTCCACAATCCTGTGAGCCAATTCTTGCAATTCTTCCTCATGTTGATAGATAGATGTCCTGTTCTGTTTCTCTGGAAAACGCTAATACTGAGGTTATAGGGCTGGGCAGATAGCAAGGCAGAGGAAGAAGTCAAAATGGTGACGCTGTGGAGATGGGCTTGGACAGTAATGGGGGATGCTGCTTGCTAAAGAGTTGTTAGGAGCTAGCAGAAATGCCTTCGTGATGTTCTATATACAGTAATGGCGGGCTGCAAAGGAGAGGTCTTTTATAACCAGGGCAGCAGGGGGCCTCCAAATGGTGTTTAGCTATTGTTAACACACTCAGGTGGGTGAGGGATTGGGGACGGTTGAAACTTCCTGATTTGCAATCTCTTTGGAAAAAACGTGAATGAACTTTTGGAAGGGTGATGCCCTTTAGGAATAGAACCCAGGATTTTCCAGGTCCTTAGGAATCTGGCCTCTCACTTCTCAAGACTTCTTGATTTAACTCTGATGGAAAGAATAAACTACAATTCCCAGCGATATTTAGGGTTAACTCAGGGCGCCTTCCGGGATTAGAACATTTCCGGCGGAAGTGGCTGCGGGTACGCCAATCTCCTTCCCTAAGCAATGTAGACTACGACTCCCACTGTCCTTAGCGCAGGGGTTGGGTTAGGAGGAAAGGAACCGGAAACAGGATGGGGAGCTGGACCAGGTGAGGAAGTAGAAGGCTGGGAACCTGGGTTTGTGGGGGCAGGTTCAGGGCTCCCAGGGTCGACGAGACTGAGCCGAGAGAGTAGTCAGAATGCCTGGGTTTTCGGGTCCCTCTCTCCGTGTGGGGTCAGAGTCAGTGCAGGGAGAGCCCAGCCTATGAAACTGCCTGGAAGGTCTGCAGGATCGAGGCTTTCCAGTTGGCTGGAGACAGCGGGCGACCGCGGAGGTTTTGTATGGTGCCTTAGTAGTCGCTGGTCCCTTCGGAACCAGATGAAATGGTCTTTTTGAGTTTATGCTTTATTATTATTTATTTATTTATTTATTTTTGAGATGGAGTCTCGTTCTGTCGCCCAGGCTGGAGTGCAATAGTGCGATCTCGGTTCCCGGGTTTTCCCGCCTCCCCGGTTCAAGCGATTCTCCTGCCTCAGCCTCCTGAGTAGCTGGGATTACAGGCGGGCGCCACCATGCCTGGAAAATTTTTGTATTTTTAGTAGAGACGGGGTTTCACCAAGTTGGTCAGGCTGGTTTTGAGCTCTTGACCTCAAGTGATCCGCCCGCGTCGGCCTCCCAAAGTGCTGGGATTACAGGCGTGAGCCACCGCGCCCAGCCTATGCCTTATTATTATGATTGTAATTATTATTTAGTTTAAGGGTATTTCTTATGGTCCCTTGGACTCCCAAAGTGCCTCCAAGGGACAGGGGAGTGCATCGTGTGTCTTCAGATCATTCCTGACTTCCTGGATTTGATGTCAGAGAAGTCTGACATTAGCCTGAAGTCTGGCCTTGGTGGCCAGCCTTATCGATGAGTCAAACTACACTGCCTTTGAGCTTAATGTCATATGACACCATATTTTGTAAAATAATCTTTTTATTTATTTATTTTTTGAGATGGAGTCTTTCTTGCTCTGTCGCCAGGCTGGAGTGCAGTGGCGCAATGCTGGCTCGCTGCAACTTCCATTTTCTGATTTCAAGCAATTCTGCCTCAGTCTCCCAAATACCTGGGACTACAGGAACGCACCACCAAGCTCGGTGATTTTTTTGTATTTTTAGTAGAGATGGGGTTTCACCATGTTGGTCAGGATGGTCTTGATTTCTTGACCTCGTGATCCGCCCGTCTTAGCCTCTCAAAGTGCTGGGATTACAGGCGTGAGCCACCACGCCCGGCAATATCCACATTTCTTAAGCCTCTGGCTCTTGGGGCGACTTTGGGTAGAACTGACATGTTCCTCCTTTGGGTTGTCCTAGTGTTGTATTAAAGCTCACATCACAGTGTATTATAGTTAGTTTATCTGCCCTCTCACAGCAGTTTATGAGCTTACAAAAAGCTTGGTCTACATTTTACTGATTTTGGATTTCTTCCTCATCAGGAGACTGCTGCAGTGCCTGTCATGTAAGAGACTCATAAGTATTGAAAAAAATAAGGCCGGGCGCGGTGGCTCAAGCCTGTAATCCCAGCACTTTGGGAGGCCGAGGCGGGTGGATCACAAGGTCGAGAGATCGAGACCATCCTGGTCAACATGGTGATACCCCGTCTTTACTAAAAATACAAAAAATTAGCTGGGCATGGTGGCACGTGCCTGTAATCCCAGCTACTCAGGAGGCTGAGGCAGGAGAATTGCCTGAACCCAGGAGGCGGAGGTTGCGGTGAGCCGAGATCGCGCCATTACACTCCAGCCTGGGTAACAAGAGCGAAACTCCGTCTCAAAAAAAAAAAAAAAAAAAAAAAAAAAAAAAAAAAGAAAAAAATAAATGAGTTAACAGCTGGTGGTAGGCTGAATGGAATATGTGATTTTCATAGAGGAGAGAGTTAAATGAGTTTCCCAAGAGAATCTTCTTAGAGATGAAACAAGAGTGGAATTCAAGTCAATTGACTTCTAGCCTGTGGCTCTTGCTGTGAGATCAGGCTTTGAAATTATGGGATAATGAAAATAAGGTTTCGTCACTCTTTTGTGTACCCCCGGCCTTGCTGTCTCCAACACAGGTCTGTAAATGCCAAAGGTGGGCTCAAGAATTCTCTTGGGCCGGGCGCGGTGGCTCAAGCCTGTAATCCCAGCACTTTGGGAGGCCGAGGCGGGTGGATCACGAGGTCAAGAGATCAAGACCATCCTGGTCAACATGGTGAAACCCCGTCTCTACTAAAAATACAAAAAAATTAGCTGGGCATGGTGGCTCGTGCCTATAATCCCAGCTACTCAGGAGGCTGAGACAGGAGAATTGCCTGAACCCAGGAGGCGGAGGTTGCAGTGAGCCGAGATCGCGCCATTGCACTCCAGCCTGGGTAACAAGAGCAAAACTCCGTCTCAAAAAAAAAAAAAAAAAAAAAAAAAAAGAATTCTCTTGAGATTCTAGAGTTGGAACAGCCAGTCTGCCAATGTTGGTGCTGCATGGGAGATGCAGAGCGAGGTCTCCTGAAACACTGGTGTTCTCCACAGCTCCTTTCGCAGCTTTTGTGTGAGCCCAGTTTGTCCTGGGTAGCCACCTGGACAGATCAGTTAAGACTACTGAGATCAGTTAGGGAATGACTTCCTAAGTTTGGCCTCTGATTTTTTTTTTTTCTCTCTCACTTCCCCGAAGCTAGGGTGAGAAAAATAGGTTGATCAAGCTGTTGTGTCAACCTTGAGTTCTCATCTGGAGGGAAGCGGTCACTGCTGACCCAGGCAGAAAGTTGAGAGGAAGGAATGACAGTGGTACCAGTCATATGGGAGACTCAGAGGTGATGGCCACACCAGAGCCTAGGAAACAAGCAGAGTGCAAAGTGGGCAGCTGAGCTTTGAGTGAACTGAGGAAATAGAAATGGAGAGGGATCCATCAGGAGTGGCTCTTTTACCACCTTTTGGTAAAAGGTGTTTTTTTAATCTTTATTTTTTAGAGGTGGGGTCTCACTATGTCAGCCAGGCTGGTCTTGAACTCCTGGCCTCAAGCAGTTCTGCCTCGGCCTCCCAGAGTGCTGGGATTACAGGCATGAGCCACTGTGCCTGGCCCAGAAGGTACTTTTAAACAAAAGTGAAAAAGAAATGGACATTGCCGAGCAGGTGTTTGTTGTGTACCTGCCTAATAAGGGCCAAGACCTTGGGCTTATGGAGGGAGATTGATCAGAGCCTGGCTCTTGATCTGCCCAAGTTTAGCTGGGGAGGCAAAATGAATTCATCAAGATGACGCTAACTGTGGTGACACACAGTGGTTCTCAGCCTTCACCAACCATCAGAATCACCCTGGGAAGCTTGTTTGAAATACAGATTCCCAGGCCTCACACCAGACCTGCTTGTGTTGGGGCTGGGCTTGGGACACTATGGCAAATGCTGCAGTGTTCTGAGGAGGGAAGGCTTTATCAAAGGGATGGTTTGAGCTGCATTTTGAAGGATGGGAGTGATTTGGATGTGGGGACAGGTGGGGGAATCACAGTCCTGATTGACTAGATGACTGTTGGATGATGTCCCCGTTGACTTGAGGAGTGTATTTGGTTGGATTGTAGAAATGGTATGTGCAAAGTTTTGGGAGTTGAGGTAGGAAAGGCATTTCGAAAATGTGAGTAGCATGGTCAGGTTGGAACACTGGGTTCAAATGGGAGTGGAATGAAGGGGTGGCTTTTGCAGTTTACAAAGCTTGCTGTCATGCTCCTCTCCCTCCCCCACCATTCCCTCCCCTCTCCTTTCTCCCACCTCCCTTCTCTCTTGCCTTTCTTCTTCCTCTCCCATTTCTTCCTTTTCTCCCTTCACCTGCACATCTTATTCCATCCTTATGTCAACATTATTAAGTGGATATTATTATTCTTTGTATTTGAAGGAGGAAACCTGAGGCTCTGGCCATGTGTGTAGCTTGTAAGATTCTTTTTTTTGAGACGGAGTTTCGCTCTTGTTACCCAGGCTGGAGCGCAATGGCGCGATCTCGGCTCACCGCAACCTCCGCCTCCTGAGTTCAGGCAATTCTCCTGCCTCAGCCTCCTGAGTAGCTGGGATTACAGGCACGCGCCACCATGCCCAGCTAATTTTTTTGTATTTTTAGTAGAGACGGGGTTTCACCATGTTGACCAGGATGGTCTCGATCTCTTGACCTCGTGATCCACCCGCCTCGGCCTCCCAAAGTGCTGGGATTACAGGCGTCAGCCACCTTCTATTAAGAGTCCGTAATCAGGCGGTGGCTCAAGCCTGTAATCCCAGCACTTTGGGAGGCCGAGGGGGGTGGATCACGAGGTCGAGAGATCGAGACCATCCTGGTCAACATGGTGAAACCCCGTCTCTACTAAAAATACAAAAAAATTAGCTGGGCATGGTGGCGCGTGCCTGTAATCCCAGCTACTCAGGAGGCTGAGGCAGGAGAATTGCCTGAACTCAGGAGGCGGAGGTTGCGGTGAGCCGAGATCGCGCCATTGCGCTCCAGCCTGGGTAACAAGAGCGAAACTCCGTCTCAAAAAAAAAAAAAAAGAGTCTGTAATCATCCTCCTCACTATTCCTGAGTGTGGGAAAGAAGCTAGGCTGGGGTTAGAGGGTGGTGGAATTAGCAGGGTGGCTGATCAAACCATGTAAGAGAAGATGGTGTGGGTGGTTAAATCATAGCCTTGAGCCAGAGAGATGGTTCAATCAAATCCCAGCTTTATTATTTACTAACTGCAAGACCTTGGGCAAGTTGCTTAATCTTGCTAAGCCTCAGTATCCTCACTTATAACATGGGAGCAGTAATACCCACCTCATGGGGTTGTTGTGAGGATCAATGAGGTGTACCTGGCACAGAGTAGTCGCTCACCACCTGGAAGCTATTGTAATTAGCCTTCCCAGGTCTCTGGGCTGTGACTGTGCACTTACATTTCATTCTTCAGCACTGTGCTTTCCAGGACACAGTCCATTCTGGCTGGGCTTTTCTTTTTTAGGAGACATTAAAAGTGCTGAAAGGATGCCACCGGTAAATGTTTACTGGAAACCTACAGTGGCTGGGCACGGTGGCTCATGCCCGTAATCCCAGCACTTTGGGAGGCCGAGGACGGCAGATCACTTGAGGTTGGGAGTTTGAGACCAGCCTGACCAACATGGAGAAACCCCGTCTCTATTAAAAAATACAAAACTAGCATGGTGGCACATGCCCGTAATCCCAGCTACTCAGGAGGCTGAGGCAGGAGAAGCGCTTGAACCTGGGAAGCGGAGATTGCAGTGAGCTGAGATGGCACCATCGCACTCCAGCCTGGGCGACACGAGTGAAACTCCATCTCAAAAGAAAAGGAAACCTAATATGTGCTTGGCACAGCCCAGGAACTAGCGACTCAGACCTGTGCCTGATGGAAAGTAGATTTGGTTTGGAGTGGGAGATGTTTGGTGGCTGTGGCTTATCCTCACCAGGTGCCAGACGAAGAGGAAGGATATTGGAAGTGGGGAGGGAAAATTCTTCATTACCAAGAATTGAGGTGTGCTTAGGCCTACTTGGTGGTTGGTAGATGACTGACGTGGTCTCTTAGGGTCCTTTCTGAGCCTAGGAAATGGTAGTGGGGGCCCTGGCCAGCATGGATCCCTCCTCCCACTCTGTGGCTGAGGGATGATGAGGGCTCTGTCCATCTCTTTTCCCAGGTGACAGTGGCATGGCCATATGCCCCACGCTTTCCTGCTGGGATCCACCCAGGAGCCTACAGGTGTCCTGATGGAGCCCCAGCCCAGCCCTGGAAGCTTGGCTGAGCGCTTCCTGGAGGAGGAGCTTCGGCTCAATGCTGAGCTGAGTCAACTGCAGTTTTCGGAGCCTGTGGGCATCATCTACAATCCTGTGGAGTATGCATGGGAGCCACATCGCAACTACGTGACTCGCTACTGCCGGGGCCCCAAGGAGGTGCTCTTCCTGGGCATGAACCCTGGACCTTTTGGCATGGCCCAGACTGGGGTAAAGGGTTTGGCTTCCCCAGTGGGTGGAGTGGGAGGCTTTAGGTGGCTGCTTGGCTGGGTATGGTGTGGAGAAGGAGCGTGTGCGTGGGTGTAGACATGTGTTGGTCCCCCCGCCCCATTCTTTCTCAACACGCATACTGGCTCCTGTGGTCTCAGGCCCTCTCCCAGTGTCTCTGCCTGGAATTAACCAAGCACATTAATGGTAGTTTTGTTTTCCCTGTAAGCTGTCCACTAATTGCCTCTGAGAGCCCTTCCTTCTGCCAGCCCATCCCTACTTTACCGAATCTCCCCTGTCCCTGAAGCGTGGGTGGGGTCAGAAGAGGGACTGGGACTGCGGGGTCCTCAGAAGAGACTGGTTGACGGGGGTGGGTATGTAAGAGACGCAGGGCATTCTGGGAACCTGGGTTCTGTTTTTTTTTTTTTTTTTTTTTTTTTGAGACGGAGTTTCGCTCTCATTACCCAGGCTGGAGTGCAATGGCGCGATCTCGGCTCACCGCAACCTCCGCCTCCTGGGTTCAGGCAATTCTCCTGCCTCAGCCTCCCGAGTAGCTGGGATGACAGGCACGCGCCACCATACCCAGCTGATTTTTTGCATTTTTTTTAGTAGAGACGGGGTTTCACCATGTTGACCAGGATGGTCTCGATCTCCTGACCTCGTGATCCACCCGCCTCGGCCTCCCAAAGTGCTGGGATTACAGGCGTGAGCCACCACGCCCGGCGCTGGGTTCTGTTTCTTAGCTAAGGGAAGGTTCAAAACAGAGCCAGGCTCCAGTGCCTGCCTGCTTTCCTTTCAGAGCTCAGGATGAGTGACTGCCCCTCAGTGGGGGTGCTTGGCAGGTGGGGGAGGGGAAGAGGCTTCAGGGCAGGAGGCTCAATCGCTTTTATTGACTCCAACTGGGTGATGAAAGGTGATCAATGATGATTGATGGAAATGATGGCCTGAGGCTTGGGGTGGGGAGGGCACCCAGAGAGCAGTGGTCCGCCTGTCCTTGTGCCTCCTTTAACCCTGGCTGCCTTTTTGTCTCAGACCATCTGTCTGTCCCCAGTACTAACCATCAAACCTGGGGCTAGCTGTCTGAAAGTATTCCCCGTACTTGGTCCCAAAGGCTAGTTGGGGTAGACGCAAACAGATTCTTCTGGACCATAGTCCACAATGAAAAACTGGAAAAAGAAGGACAAAGATGGACAGGCTGAAACCATAGGGTCAAGAATCCTTGTCTCAGGCCTTTGGGTAAAGGTGGGGGTTGGAGGTGCAGGCTGGATCCTCATGGAAGGTATAAAGAAGTCAGTTGGTCCAGAGCCCAGGCATCAGGTCTCCCGTTTGAAGCCTTTCATGTGTCTTTCCTTCCTCACAGGTGCCCTTTGGGGAAGTGAGCATGGTCCGGGACTGGTTGGGCATTGGGGGAACTGTGCTGACTCCTCCCCAAGAGCACCCTAAGCGACCAGTGCTGGGACTGGAGTGCCCACAGTCAGAAGTGAGTGGTGCCCGATTCTGGGGCTTTTTCCAGAACCTCTGTGGACAGCCTGACGTCTTCTTCCATCACTGCTTTGTCCATAATCTATGCCCTCTGCTTTTGCTGGCTCCCAGTGGGCGCAACCTCACCCCTGCTGAGCTACCTGCCAGGCAGCGAGAACAGCTTCTTGGGATCTGTGATGCAGCCCTCTGCCGGCAGGTGCAGCTGCTGGGGGTGCGGCTGGTGGTGGGAGTTGGGCGACTGGCAGAGCAGCGGGCACGACGGGCTCTGGCAGGCCTGATGCCAGAGGTCCAGGTGGAAGGGCTCCTGCATCCCTCTCCCCGTAACCCACAGGCCAACAAGGGCTGGGAGGCAGTGGCCAAGGAAAGACTGAATGAGTTGGGGCTGCTGCCACTGCTGTCGAAATGAGTGCCCCTGGGGCCTGGCATGGGACACATTCAAGACCTCGAAGTCATTCTTGGGCAAGCATGACAACACATTTCCTGGACTGGAGTGAAAGGTCCTCCTGTGCTCCCTGGTCGCTGGGAAACGTTATTCTTTGATATGTTGAACTGTCTTCCAACCGGCCATGGCAGTTTTGACACTACTCCGGTTTGCCCTCCTGATTCCTGCTTTCTTTTTTTGAGACGGAGTTTTGCTCTGTCACCCAGGCTGGAGTGCAGTGGCTGGATCTTGGCTCACTGCAACCTCCGCCTCCCGGGTTCAAGCGATTTTCCTGCTTCAGCCTCCCGAGTAGTTGGGATTACAGGTGCCCACCACCATGCCCTGCTAATTTTTGTATTTTTAGTAGAGATGGGGTTTCACCATCTTGACCAGGTTGGTCTTGAACGTCTAACCTTGTGATCCACCCACCTTGGCCTCCCAAAGTGCTGGGATTACAGGCATGAGCCACTGTGCCCAGCTGATTCCTGCTTTCTTTACCTTTGAACGTTGTCCCTTTCACGGGACCCCGCTTTGTAGAGAATCTACAGAAGGTGTGTGTTCGCACTCGCAGATTGCTCTACATCACTGTTTCCTTGGGAGGCTATTCAGCGGAGAGTGCCCTCGACAGTCATTTTTAAGGTCACATATACTATTTCCGAGGAAATATCTCACCAGGATACCTACCCATCCTTACAGAGCAGCGGCTTTGGCTGACCCCTTTCCTCACAGGGACCAAGACAAAGCATGGGACATGAAATTAAGAGTGAACTTATGGGAGCCTGCAGCTGGATCAGAGGAAAAATCCGGTGTGGCAGAGTGAAAGTCAGAAGACCTGGATTTTCATCCCGGCTTTGAGACTTGTGAACTTTTTGACGGACAAATTGAGAAACCTCTCCATGCCTCAGGCTCCTCATCTGTTAAATGGGGATGCCTACCTTTTGGGGCTGGTGTGAGGATTAATTGAGATAACACTTGAAAGTGCCTTGCATGGGCCTGGCTTGTGGGTGCTCATTACAATCCTCTTCTTTCTTGCCTCTGGCTTGGGGATTCACTGCACTGCACTACAATGGTAGCCCCTCTCCATTCTGGATACCTTGCTAGGGGAGAGTCTGGGCTTCCACCTGTGGCCAGGGTGAGGGAAAATTCTCACCTTGTCAGAGATGGATCAATGACTGAAAAACCTAGCCTGTGTTTTTTTTTTTCACTCTAAGCATTAAAAGCTCCTAAAGCCTTTGTCTTGTTACTTTTTTCCCACCTTGGATGCTAGAGGTAGAAGGCAGTTGTTTAGATTTCCCCTCTCTTACCTCTTCATTGTTGGCAAAGGGTTTTCTTAGGCAGCTGGGGGAAGGATGTAGTAGATGTGTATCTCTCTCTCTTCTTTTTCTTTTCTTTTTTCCTGAGATGGAGTCTCATTCTGTTGCCCAGGCTACAGTGCAGTTGTGTGATCTCAGCTCACTGCAACATCTGCCTCCTGAGTTCAAGTGATTCTCCTGCCTCAGCCTCCTGAGTAGCTGAGGTTACAGGCATGTGCCACCATGCCTGGATAATTTTTGTATTTTTAGTAAGGACGGGATTTTACCATCTTGACCAGGCTGGTCTCAAACTCCTGACTTCAAGTGATCAACCTGCCTTGGCTCCCAAAGTGCTGGTGCCTGGCCGGATGTAGTAGATCTCTAACTGCCTTGCCAAACCTGCAGGGTCTCTGCTAGGGGTCTTATATGATACTCTGGGCGCTGTGAGAAACAGGCGACGGGGCAGTTGGGAAGCTGGTATCCAATTCATTTTTTATGTGCTGAATGGTTGATTGCATGCCCCTTTGGTAAGGGTTGGGAAAGTGAACCAAGTTGGGAGCAGAGCAGGTCCTGAGACCACCTTCATGAGGGCACATGGTCTACTTCCTGTCTCCTGGGACACAGGTTATTTCCAGCTTCCACAATTAGTAAGATTTTTCGTATAAATCCTCTCCTACTTCATTGTATAGTAAAGAATTTGGCCTTTGTCTTCAGTTCCGAAGGAGACTCTTAATCCTTGGAATTTCCCAAGTGATAGGAGTATCTTTGGTTTTTGTGGAGGGTCCCTGAAACTTCACCTGAGGTTTGACCTTAGGCCACATCTTATTTTATATTGAAATTTGATCTCGGACTGCACCCAAGTTTATGGTAAGGTTTGACTGAGGATGGAGGCTGACCATGTCAGAATGACCAACCATATAGTTACAGGGCTGGGACTCTGAGCTGGATGATAGCTTGATCCTCAGGGAGGGGAGAGGAGCTAGAGACTCAGTTCAGCCACATGCCTATGATTTTAATCAACTATGCCTACGGTAAAACCTTAATAAAAACTTCTGACACTGAGATATTGGTCAGCTTCCTGGCTGTGACCACACGGATGTGCTGAGGAATGTGCCGGGGTGTCCTGTTTCTCTGAGCAGAAGGCACACATCTGTGTGTGGGACACTCCTGGACTACACCATATCTTTGTTTTCCTTTGGCTGGTTCGGATTTGCATCTTTCGTAATAGAACTTTAATCATCCCATCCACATTGTGGGTGGGTCTTCCTGCAGGTGGGTCTTTCTCTCCCAGTCTACTGACTCAAATGTTCATCTTTTCTGGAAACACCCAGAAATAAGAACTTTGCATCATTTGATTTAATCAAGTTGACACTCAGTATTACCCAACACACAAGTAGCTCGGCCCAGCTGGGAGAAAAAGATGAAGAGGTAGATTGAACCTAGCCTGTGAAAGGCCTTGAATGCTAAAATCATCTTTGAGAATTTAAAGTGTAGCGGGGGAAGTGAGATGCACAGAACACACACACTGAAAATACTCAACAGTAGGTGAAAACCCATAGAAGGAGATGAAGGGGCAAACCATGGAGGAGGCAGCGTGGGTGCAGTGGGGAAAGGGGGGGGAAGGGAGAGGATGAGTCCATAGGGAGGACATCTAGGGGCATGGCAGGTCTGGGTGAAAGCCTAGAGTTGTGGTCTGTAGGTGATGAGCTAGTAGGACAGGATTGGGTAGTACACAGGGACACTTGGAACAGCAGTGACCAGGATGACTTGAAGGTCTGGGTCCTAGCGGTTTTGCTGTCAGGTCCTGGGTGCATCTTGTCGGAGAGGCTGAGTAAGCTGGGCCTTCCTGAGGGCGCTATATTAGGCTGCTAGGGCTGCCATAACAAAACTACCACAGACTGGGTGGCTTAATACAACAGAAATTTCTTTTTTCACAGTTCTGGAGCCCATAAGTCCAGGATGAAGATCGTTTGATCTTTCCTGAGGCCTCTCCTTAGCTTGCAGATAGCTGCCTTCTTGCTGTGTCCGCCCATAGCCTCTTCTGAGCATGCACCACCCTGGTGTCTCTCTTCTTAGAAGGACACCAGTCATACTGGACTAGGGCCCCACCCTTATTACTGGATTTTTTTTTTTTTTTTTTTTTGAGACAGAGTCTTGCACTGTTGCCTGAGCTGGAGTAGAGTGGCACAATCTCAGCTTACTGCAACCTCAGCCTTCCAGGTTCAAGGGATGCTCCTTGCCTCAGCCTCCCAAGTAGCTGGGATTATAGGCACCTGCCACCACACCCAACAAATTTATTGGTATTTTTAGTAGAGACAGGGTTGTCTCTACTATGTTGGCCAGGCTGGTCTTGAACTCCTTACCTTGTGATCCATCTGCCTCAGCCTCTCAAAGTACTGGGATTACAGGCATGAGCCACTGCGTACAGCCTCTGATTACCTGATTTAACCTTAAGTGCCTCTTTAAAGGCCCTAGTCATACTGGGACTTCAACATACAAATTTGGGGAGAGGCATAATTCAGTCTATAACAGGTACACAAAGTCTTGTCACTGCTTTTTTTTGTCCCCAACCAATGTCAACTGCAATCAAAATAGGGTACTTAGGAGTGCCTTTTTTCTAGTCTGGAGGATTGGAAGCTGGTCTAGGGGCTTAGGTAGCTGATCAGACTTAGTCTCACCAGACTGGCCTTTACCCCTCAGTTCATTCTAGAGCAGTTTCTTCAGCGCAAATGAGAGCGTTCTTAGAGAAAGGAAGTTCTTTTTTTTTTTTTTTAAATACAGAGTCTTGCTCTGTTGCCAGGCTGTAGTGTAGTGGTGCGATCTTGGCTCACTGCAACCTCCAACTCCCAGGTTCAAGTGATTCTCCTGCTTCAGCCTCCCAAGTAGCTGGGATTACAGGCGCCTGCCACCACGCCCAGCTAATTTTTGTATTTTTATTAGAGACAGGGTTTCATCATGTTGGCCAGGATGGTCTTGATCTCCTGAGCTCGTGATCTCCCCACCTTGGCCTCCCAAAGTGCTGGGATTACAGGTGTGAGCTGCTGCGCCTGGCCATTGATTTTTTTTTTTTTTTTTTCTGAGTGGAAGAGAATGGAGACTTTAGCTGCTACAAAACAGCATAGTGAGAATTATTCTAAAGCCAAACTGAAATACTTTGGTGTCCTCTAGAGTTTTGTAGACCAATGTAGTAGCCACTAGCCATGCATGGCTGTTTTAGTGCAAAGTAATTTAAATTAAGGAAAAGAATTCAGTTCCTCAGTTCACATTTCAAGTGCTCAATAACCACAGGTGGCTAGTGGCTACTGATTGGATGACATGGAAATTGAATACTTCCATTATCTCAGAATGTTCTGTTGGACAGCACTGATCTAGAGATCAGTGGCTTACAACCCTGCCTATGAATCAGAATTAACCTGTGGAGGTTTAAAAAAGCACACATGTCTCAGCTACACTTCAAGATATCTTGATTTGTGAGATGTGAGGGGCATCCTGCCACGTCTTCAGCAGAATCTCTCCATGCTACCAATATGCAGCCCTGCAGCCAAGGTTAAGGCAGGATTGCCCTGAGTGTCTTGAAGGCAAGACCAGGGTCTCCTTTTTTCTCCCTCAGTATGTAATCCCACACCTGGCACAAAATAGGTATTCAGAGCAGACATGGAAGTAATGCATGAATCTGGTCTGGGAGAGCTACCCATGTGCCATCCAGAAACACTAGTTTCTCTAGAGTTCATTGTTTTTGTCTAGTGACGGGGATTCCAAGTTCTGATTCAGAGTAATGATGGAGGTCCCACTCCAAAACACACCAACTCAACTTGGTAGAGACCAAGGCTGTGCTTGGGGTGAGGATGCCTCTGAGATTCTGAGGGGTGGATTGTGTTGGTGAAGAAAGAGAATTTTCTTACCTCCTTTTTTTTTTTTTTTTAAAGATAGGGTCTCCTGTTTCCCAGGCTGGAGTGCAGTGGCATGATCATGGCTCACTGAAGCCTTGACTTCCCCGGGCTCAGGTGATCCTCCCCTCAGCCTCCTGAGTAGCTGGCACTACAGGCCACACCATCACACCTGGCTAATTGTTTTTTTTTTTTTTTTTTTTTTTTTTTTTTACCCAGGCTGGAGTGCAATGGCGCGATCTCGGCTCACCGCAACCTCCGCCTCCCGGGTTCAGGCAATTCTCCTGCCTCAGCCTCCTGAGTAGCTTGGATTACAGGCACACGCCACCATGCCCAGCTAATTTTTTGTATTTTTAGTAGAGATGGGGTTTCACGATGTTGACCAGGATGGTCTTGATCTCTTGACCTCGTGATCCACCCGCCTCAGCTTCCCAAAGTGCTGGGATTACAGGCTTGAGCCACCGTGCCCGGCACACCTGGCTAATTTTTTGTAGAGACAGGGTTTCACCATGTTGCCCAGGCTGGTCTCTATCTCCTGGACTCAATTGATCCTCCCACCTTAGCCTCCCTAAAGTGCTGGGATTACAGGCATGAGCCACCATGCCCAGTTAATTTTGTGTTTTTAGTAGAGTTGGGGTTTCTCCATGTTGGTCAGGCTGGTCTTAAACTCCCGACCTCAGGTGATCCGCCTACCTTGGCCTCCCAAAGTGCTGGGGTTACAGGTGTGAGCCACTGTGCCTGGCCCGGCCTTTTATTGCTTTTTTTCCCTTCCCTTACTGAAACAGGATGGCTTATAGGAAGATTGGGTCTTGGTTTTGGCCACTGCATGGTCTCACCTTCCTTTTTCGATTTAATAAACATTTATTGATGTCTGCTGTGTGTGTGTCATTCCTTGTGCTAGGCACTGTAGGGAGTGACAGAGGTGAATTAGATGATTCTTTGCCCTCACGTTGTTCACTGTTTAGTGCTGGGAGATACAGGCATATAATTATAGTATAAATCAAACTGAAAGCATGTTGTGAACAGGTTATAAACACAGCACTCTGGGCACACTGAAAGAGGAAGCGATTAGCCCTCAGAGTCTGGGGAGGAGGTGTGTGTGCCTGTGAGAGAGGGCGGTTATTAGAGATTTCTTATCTCATTGCTTGCTAAATCTTACCTCTATGGAGTGGATATTTGAAAAAGGGGACCACTATGTCAAATATATCCAGGAATTTCTCAGCCTCAACATCAAGGGGCTAGGAAACAGGATGAGGGGAGGGGCTCAGAGGCCAGGAATTAGGCAAGAGCCAAAGGTCCAAGGGTTGCGGGTGGCCCTGTGGAAGATGAGAAGTGGAGCTTCCTTTCAGAACACATCTGTTAACTTTGGGGATGGACAACTGCAGCAGATGGTGGCAGGAAATGTCCAGGTAGCAGGTCAAAAAAGCCTGGAAATGCAGCCTGGCCACAGCTGGGGTGGAGAAGCTAATGATGGAATGGAAGAAGGGAATAGAGATTGCAGCCTATCCCAGACTAAGTCTTTTTTTTTTTTTTTTTTTTTTTTTGAGGTGGAGTTTCACTCTTGTTGCCCAGGCTGGAGTGCAATGGCGCGATCCTGGCTCACGGCAACCTCTGCCTCCCGGGTTCAAGCAATTCTCCTGCCTCAGCCTCCCGAGTGGGTGGAATTACAGGCACGCGCCACCACACCCGGCTAATTTTGTATTTTTAGTAGAGAGGAGGTTTCTCCATGTTGGTCAGGCTGGTCTGGAACTCCCAACCTTAGGTGATTTGCCCACCTCGGCCTCCCAAAGTGCTGGGGTTACAGGTGTGAGCCACCACACCCAGC